CTGTAGTACGCTGGTTGGCGTATGTGGTAGAAGCTTGGTAGAGAAAACAAAAAGAGTGATTTATTATCGACACACAGACGCGTGGACTGTCTGCACCTGACGGTTACAGTAAAACAGAACGCCTTCACAATACCGTATCAAACACATACAGCAGAATAGAGTCGGTCTTGCACAGCAAACACCCCAACAGCCCTGTCCCCAGAAAAATACAAGAACGCACGACGTGACTGCGCCGCACCGACGAGTTCCCACCACATGACTTTCACGGAGCTTTTTTGCATGCCACGTTTTATGAACCGAACGTCCAAACGAGCTTGTCGTTCCTTCCATGTAGCGTTCGAACCAAGACAGGTGGATCACTTGTGCGCACGATGAAAGTAACGGAGACACAAAATATTCCCCCAATTTCAATTCCGTATTTCAAATGCCTCCTGCCAGCTTCATTGAATGAATATGTCCAAAAACAACAATTCATTTGGGAAAGCAGCCGTAGCACACGGCAATTTATCCTTGATACAATAGCCAACGAGACGGCGACTAGCGCTACGCGGTGACGAAACCTTCCAGCTGGCCAGAGACGGTCTGGACTTCGCTCTGACCAGGCGGTCGGTATCCCCCGGGAAGGCGCACGAGCGTCTTTGTCTTGTACCCTACGCTGAACAATCGAACGAGGGAGGACCTGAGTGAATTATTTGATCTAGTCTACATTGTTGTTCGAAGGTATTGGAATTACCTGAGCGCGCGAGTGACGATAAGCCGCAGAGTATGTGGCCCTGCTCTCTCTCGCTGCAGCCAGCGCGGTTTTCGCCTTCTTGTTTGCGCAAGTTACATGTACATGATGAAGATTTCGTGCTTTCTCGGTCAAGGGGGGGAAAGTACACTACACGTGGTGATAAGCTCCGCGATGGGACCACTCTGCACATGCAGGGCTCCGAGCGTGGCAGAAACCAACTCTAGTCGGCGGCTGCACGTGCACCACCATGAACCGTCACTTTCCCAAAAGGAAATTCACTCCCGACACCACAGGGTAACAGAACATCAACTACAGTGTCTATGAGACCCCTGACAGAGGAGACACAGCACCAAGACGAGGACAAAAGATGAACATCACACATTATTGTGCCTGGCCTGAGTGTAGCACGCAGCGTACGCAGCCAGAGGGCAAGTCTGGAAAGTCAATACAATCTACAGAGGAGTACGGTTCGTGACACGTTACACGCCAAGAGAGTGAGTGCTCCACCGCTTCCAAAGCTTGCTTGGCCTGCTGTTGCACGTGAAAGCTGCGAGCAGCACCCGGTTTACCGGCGCCCCGCGCAAGGGAAGCGTGGCCTAACGCATGCACGTCACAAGCAGGCGTGCCCGACCGTTAGCACAAGGAAGGGGGCACTCGATCAACATCACAATCAAACCAGAAATGTTCCCTCATGTGTCGAGTCTACTGCTATAATGGAAAGCGCAATATGGACGACTCCTTTAGTTACGTTTGCACCCCGCCATGCAATTTTACTCGAGCAGCATTGGCGATTTCCCCGAGCAACATCAGCAGCGAGTGGCCATGCTATGCCTTGCTGAAGCCATCGACACTTCCCACGAGACAAACCTCGTCGTGCGAAGAACTCACGCCAACTTCCAAGCGTGAATAAGGAGACGGTGGTCAACCGAGTGCGCTTTCGCCTCGAGGGTTACGACCAGACACAGCCTTGCCTCAACAATCACCGCGACCGAGATCAACCATTCCTTGTCGTTTATAAGGATGCCCATTTAAAACACACAACGCCAGGGATGCATGTCAACTTACGAAGAAAAAAAAAATGTGTGCCCTCGATTCCGCTACGCTCGCAAAAGACCAACCAACGGTATCGCACAGGAAGCTGCGGCTAGACATGTACCACTTCTCACCAATGCAGCGCGCCGACCTGCGTGCATGTTCCGCCGTGCGCCGCGTAGTAGATGTAAAAAGCCGAAGATCTTCTCTCGCGCTAAGACAACCCAACAAAACAACCCGTAACGCATCCCCTGCTCCTGAAACCCCGGGGAATGCACGTGTCTCCTTTCTCTCCTCGAGGATCCAGAACGAACATTCCACACGGTCACTCACACGCCACCACTCGGCGGCCAATCACGACCAGATGAACAGTCTAACGATAGCATCTAGGATAAGACAAAACACTAAGCCACAGCTGCATCACTTCCGACCACCCACTGCGCCCCTTCTAGTAGCTGCTATGCCGGCAATAGTGATTCCCCCCACCCAAACCCATGAGCGAATCCCTGAGGCTTGCTGTCACCACGTGAGCAGCGAGCCACGCCAGGACCTACACAACAAAAAACAGGCCCCTACGCCAGCCCATCCTACCGATACAGACAACCGACCATACTTTCCGCCGATACACGCAAAACAGCAAGCCGACGTGCATCGCGCCAGCCTTGAAAAGCGCTCCCCACCCCCCACCCCCAACCCTCAACGCCGGCTCAATGGATCGGGTCACCGTGCACGCGGAAGCCGTAGAGGCAGGTCCACGCCCCACCGTGGTTGCTCTGCACCTCAAGCGTAACCCACCCAACGGGGGGCACCGCCGCCGCCGCCTCCTCCACTCTCCCCTCCCCCACTGCGAACGTCTGCACCCCGGGAGCCCCTTCCCCGACCTGGTACTCGGCGCCGGCCAGGAGCACGTGCGGCCGCAGCAGCGCCTCCCCCCCTCCGTCGCCCCCGCCGCCGACGAGAGACGCCGTGATCGTCGCCGCGCTGGCGGGGTCGGCGTCCCAGCCCAGTACCCTGAAGGCGCGGGGGGCGCTCTGCGCCGCCGTCGGAGCGGACGCGGCGCGCGCGTGCTCGATGGACACGTGGGTCACCCTGACGAACCCGGCTGCCGCCGCCACCCCCGCAGCGGGCTTTTCATCTCCCGGCGGCGACGGAAGCGGGCGAGCGAGCTCGACGGTCAGCCTCCCCTCCCCGCCTTTGAACGCGAAGCAGGAGCCGAGGGAGTTGGAGGCCGACAGCGCGGCGTCGCCATCCTCGGCGTACACCCGGCCGGGCACCCTGAGCATGTGCAGCAGGTAGTCGTGCCACTCCAGCTCCGTGTTCGCCAGGGTCTTGGACGTGAGCCACCCCTTCTTTTCGACCATGCCGTCGCCCTGCTGTTCCTCACCACTGTAGGCAGGCGCCACGGGGAAAGGGCCGTACACGACTTTGGCTCCGAGGGTAAGGGAAGCGTAGTCCGGCATTCCCGTGCCCCCCGACGAGAACATCTGACGGTGTTCATCGGAAAGTCGGCGCGGTCATGGGGCAAGGAGGAAGACGATTAACGGGGAGGGGGGGGGGGG